AAAATAAAATAAAATAAAATAAAATAAAATAAAATAAAATAAAATAAAATAAAATAAAATAAAATAAAATGCAGACAGTGATTTAATACTTTTCTGAACCATCTATCTCGTTACGGTTAAAAATCTATTTGTATTGTTAGTCACACATCTCATTTTATAATGAAAGAAATCTTGAAAAAATACACATCTATAAAGCCTCAATTAGTCTAAGATTTTATAATCCCCCAAAGCATAAGAATACCCAGATCAACCCTCCAACACCACCAATGAAAAATGTATAGCAAGCACGTACAGTTTATTTCTGAAGCTGTCCGCTCAGCTCTGGAGTTCCTGTTCGTTGACCTAATGGTATGACGAATGATTGCATGGGGCTGCGAACATAAGCATAACATACACACTTAAAAAATTTCAACAACAATTACGAGGCTAAAACTTCGTTTTTAAATGATTGCTTATTGACAACTATAAGTACCTACTAAAACATTTCTAAGAAAAACTGCAGCAATACAATGAACAGTAGATGTCGTAAATGCATATTCAACTGTCCCATGTTTATGCCGTGGGAAACTTCGAAAGGATTCAAAGTCAGACAAACCCTGTCTTCAGAATTCAGTTCGGGAAGACAAAGGATATGAACATGTTCAAAGTTAGACAACGCTCAGTGCCATTTATTAAGAAGAGAATTACTACTAAAACCTTCTGTACTGGCCTCAAGAACACAGAGACTCTGCACTCACTCTACTTGGGGTCCAAACTACAGCAGGTGTCGGCTGTGCAGTATTTGGAGATGCATTAGACATAGAAAGTGATCACGTGATGCACGACAGAAGTATTTGCAGGAAAAGCAGGTTGGTAATTATTTGACAGCACTGAAATGAGGCCAGATGAGGGGAACTGTGTAAGTCAGATCATAGAAGGCCTTGACTGCCAGATGATAACTCTGAATTTTTATTTTTTTCAGCAGAAGGAAAAGATTTGGAGACTTTACTGCAAGGGAGTGGCAGCACCAGGGTCAGCTTTAAGGGGAATTTTCCAGGTGTATAAGGGTGCAGTATTAGGGGATATACTGGGTAAAGAGAGACTTCAAGCTATGGGGCTAGAGTTCATTAGTTAAGAGTACCTGGGGCTCTTCTAGAGGACCCAGTTGATTTTGCAGCACCCACAAGGCAGCTAGCTCATAACCATCTGTGACTGTAGTTACAAAGGATCTGATGCTCCTTCTGGCCTCCACAGCACCAGACACACATGTGATGCTCAGACATACATGTAGGTAGCAGCAACAACAACAAAAGCTGATAGACATTTAAAGAATGAGTATTATAAACTAAATGAGTAATCTACCACTTCTACCTCAGGCATAAGCTCAGGCTCATGTGAAGCTATGCCTCCAGTTCAGCCCTTAGCTACCAAAGTTATGATGCTCAACAACTATTGACGGCTCTGAAAGTGGCTTGAGCAACAGCTTTTCTTTCCTCCATTTCAAGGTCCACTACTGTGCCAAAAGATCTCAACAGCTGAAGTGAATGCACAGATCTGGGCTTAAGACACTGTCAAGACAGCTGGATGTAGTCCACCCCTACAGGTTCCTCCTGGACCATCAGCAGCTCCATACTACCTTCCCGGTCTGATTTTTGAACTTGTTCTCTCACTTCCAGCACAGTGGTTCAATGGTCCTACTTGAATACTGACTTCATGGATCCATTACGATCTTACTCATCATCGATCTTCCCTTTTCTCCCTATCTAGTGTGTATCTGAAAGTCTAAAATTGTAAGTAATCTCCTGTGACTCACATCTATATAGGCCAAATTCCCCCCCTACAACCAGCATCTTAACTCCTGACTAGACATCTCCCTATGGAAGCTGTTCTGTATAAAAGTAAACGCATCCTTCTCCCCAGTCCTGACTTCGCTCATGTTTCTGTCTCAGGAAGTGGTTCTATCCACCAGGTTTTCACATTGAGATCTGACAGCAATTCTCATCCATCTCAGCTGAGACTCCCTCACTGTGTTTCACTCTGGCTGTGACTCTGAAGCGACTGTCAACTCTATCCTGCTGCCCCTGGTAGTCAGCTCTTTAACAGGCCTTAGTACACAGCCTTTGCATGGTTGGAGAGACAGAATAAAACTTTATGTCCATGACTTATTTCCTACTCCAGCCAGACTGAGTTATCTTTAGTTCCCCAAGTAGTATACTTTCTCTGTTACCTTCAGGCTTTCAAAACATGCTAGAATTTCCTCTACTGAAATTATTTATTATTGGGCTGGAGAGTTGGCTCAGCAGTTAAGAATACTGGCTGGTTTTGATTCCCAGTACCTATGTGACAGCTCATGAGTGTCTATAACTCTCCTAGAAGATCTGCCACCCTCATCCTGGCAAAACACTTGTACCCATAAAACGACAAAATAAATCTGACAAAACAAAACAACCCCCAAACCTTATTCTTGCTCTTTTTAATTCTCAGCCATCCTTCAAGCTTTTGGCTCTTTCCTGCCGTACCTATGGTATTCCTCCACAGTGCCCTATATTTTTTACTCCATAGGAATTATCAGTTCTATCAATTTTGTATTGGCGTTCTGAATTTCCTTTGAGAATAACCCACTATCTCTGAATGCAGTGACAGGGTCAGTCTCACATCACTGTACCCATGGTATGATGGAAGGTTCTGTGTTTCAAGGACTGGAGAGAACAGCACATCACTAAACTAACAATCAAACAAACAAACAAACAAACCAACCAAAACCAAAAATGACTCAGCAAGTAGGCAGAAGGAGGGAAGCCCAGGGGCTTGTATCTTTACATAGTTAAAGATTAGCTGGGAATTAAGTAATATCTAACAACATTTATGCTGTAAGTTTTAAGTTAAAGGATTAAATCTGCTTGCTGTTTTCAGAAAGGCTTTCCACACAGCGGCTGCGATTAGACTAGAACTCACAGTGGAACCTATGTTGGTTTTGTGTAAGCCTTCTGAGTCCTTGTTTACAAGTCAAATGTCAATATGCCTGCCATAAAAGTTTGTTAATCTTTTAAAAAAAGAATTATATTTATTATTTGTATGTGTTCATGCACACATGTGGAGAAGTAAAGGACTTGTGGGAGTCAGTTTCTCATTTCACTATGTGAGTATCTGGAATCAGATTCAGGTCTTACGTTATCAAGCTTAGTAGTAAGAACCTTTACTAACCATTCAGACATCTTGCCTCCCTAAGCTTTATTAATCTTCACACTAAAAATAGTGATCTTAGTATTAGTGTTTGTAAGGAATTTATGTGTGGCTGGTTTATTTAATGCTTGCAATTCTAGTTAATTTAATATCAAATAAAAACTATTTAACAGGATTATAATTATATGAAGCACTGGGGGAATACATATCATCTTTTAAAGGTTCTATAAAGATTGTAATTTTTAAGCAGTTAAACAGAACAGTGGTACAGTTAATGAGCACAAAGTTCCTTATTCCTAATTTACACGTTTTGCTACTACATATGGTACACTCAAAATAATCCCATCATATTTTCAGAGAAGACATGCATAGTAATAGACTAGTTACATGTAACTATATAAGAAACAATAGTTATGAAAAAATATTTTTCCCATTGAGGATTTCAATTTACTTCTTTAGAATTACCTATATTTTGTTAATATGCATGGGAAAATTAAAAAATGACCAACTCAACTTATAAGGAATTTCTTTTATGAAAACTTATATGCACATATGTTGTGCCTAAACCTTCCCTTTTTGTTCCAAAGTGAGATTCTTAAAGCTTCTATTTCCTAGGCAACAGATGCCATTTCTATACGTTCTTAGGGAGATCCCAGCTCAGTACAAGCTGTGATCCGGGAGAAGGCACCTTTGGAGTTCTAGGCCTGTATGAAAGGTGGAGGAGGATGATCTCAGAACTCGGATGAGAACAGGAGTAGGAAAAGCCTTGGTGGGCTATAATTAAGAGAGCATGTATACAGAGTTCACACTGTTAATTTTTGTAGCTTCACCCATTTTAACTAAGTTGAAGGTGTAAATTAGAAAATAAATTCTCAACTGGGTGTGGTGGCTCACTTGGGAGGCTGAGACAGGAGGATACTTGAGAACTCAGGGTTAGCCTGATTAACATATTGATCCAGGCCAAGCTAGATCCTGTGAGACACTGTCTATAAAGCCAAAATTAAATGAATAACAGAAATAAATGGAAAACATGTTAAAAATCTCCAAAAATTCTCTAGCATTCACCTGTGTCCCACTCTTACCTCAAAGTCATCGTCATCACCTTCACTGTAGTGAGCGTGGTTGTCAGGATTGTTCACCTTGTCCAACAGCTCAACCGCGAGGGCCCGAGACAGACCTGACTGCCCAACAAAAGTGTGCTAAGTAAAAATCAAACACAGTAAAATTTCACAAATGTGCCTTCATACATATAGTTTATAAAAAAGTTACTTGTGATTTTTAAGTCAGTAACTTGTAAGAAGAGATGAGTGGGCAGTCTGCATTGAGACATGGGGAGTACAGAAGTGGAGGCATCGATCGCCTGTGACTGCTATGACTGCCTATGATCGCCTGTGACCACATCAGACACTTGTGGTGAGATCAGAATGTAAACCATTTCTGTATGTACAGTTAATCTAATCTATATTATGTTGTAAATTATAACCAGCTAAACAATGATGTTCATTTATATAGTATCCTGGTATACAAATGAATACTGTGGGATGTTTTAAAACAGTAGAAAAAAGCATGTTATATAGTCACATTCATTTAATTCAGTTAAATTATAGTTTTCTTAGGTTGCTGTACTAATTACTTTCTCATACAAAGGTATTTTACACAATATATACATGTAGAATACATTATAAATTTGCATAAATTAAGAAAGCAACGAATTTTAAATGATAAGATTTTGGAGAGTATTCTCAAAGGCTGGGGTCATCAAACTGTAGTCTCAGCAAAATCTGGTGTCCTGTCTACTTTTGTAAATAAAGTTTTCTTGGGGGGTTAAAACTATGCCTATGTATGTATACTGTCTATGGGTACTTTTGTGTCATAACAGCAGAACTGCGTTGTTGTGATAGAAACTGTACAGTCCATAGATATTTATGTAGATAGACATATGTAGCATCTGGTCCCTTACAGAAAGTAAGGCTGATCTCTGCACTCATCCCTGAGATGACTTTAACAACCTAAGTTTTACAATGTCAACTTTTTTTTTGTTTGTTTTTTTGAGACAGGGTTTCTCTGTGTAGCCCTAGCTGTCCTGGAACTCACTCTGTAGACCAGGCTAGCCTCGAACTCTGGAACTCAGAGATCCGCCTGCCTCTGCCTCCCAAGTGCTGGGATTAAAGGCGTGTGCCACCACCGCCCGGCATAATGTCAACTTTTGCTGCAGTAGCATGTCTAGCTGCCAGGAGCCTCAGAACCCTCTGTGATCCAGTGACTTACAGTCAGAAGCCTTTCAGCAGTTGGTCTTTTCTTGGGGTTTTTAGTTAGTGCTATTTTGACAAAATTATGGAATGTCGATGACCTTCAAATAAAAAGAGACAGTATAAAAATATTTCACTTGTATTAGTTTTCTGCTGTTAGTATATAAAATCATCTTAGAGACAGTTAGGAAGTGAGAAACAACATTCCGCTTTTTCCTTAGGCCTCTTAGTTCTATATAGGCCAAAACCTAAACACAAAGCACAGTATACCCCTTGTACATATGTGCAGCTGTTTTGTCTAAGTACTGTGTAATTAAACAGCAACAGTAATAGACAACTTCAAGCACCGCTCTACAGACAGAAGTCGGCGGGCCGTGTCTAATGCATCATTTAAGGTGCTGTAAGAGCCAAATGCCCTTTTCTTATTGCCTAATTTACAGAGCATTTTTTATTTCTATACTGAGTTAGATTACATGAAGAGTAGAGAGACTAATACAAGACAATTTAAATTCTAAAAGAATTTCTGGAATTCATAATGAAAGGGCAAAGAAAAATGAATGATTTTAGCAACCAAAAGGATTTCCTTGCTACCTGCATTGATGAAACACGGAGAGGGAGAAGCAAATAATAATAATAAAATAATAATAATAATAATAATAATAATAAATAATGATAAATACAAATAAAAAAAGAAAGGTAAGAGAAAGAATTCTATTTTCATTACGAATAACAAACAGGCTTCTTTCTGACAGTGTCAAGATTCCACCAGGGGAAAATAGCTTAAGAATCAAGGAGGTTGCCATAGTAACTAGCCAAGACAACTCAGCACATCTCAGCAGAGAAATGCCTCACTGTTTGGCCTGTGGTGACTTGTGAGAGACACTTGAGAGTAACAGTATGAGAGACTGGTAGGGAATCTCTGATGTTAACGGTGTCTATGGAATCTGACCATGAACTTAGTGTTGATATACAATATTCACTGTCCCTGAGTGAATATGAAGACATTCTTGTCACAAAGCCTTCTAGTTCCAAAATGCTAGGAGCTTAGGGCCAGTGTCAGCATAGAAGGGCACACAACAGGGTGACTTGCCTGTCATTCTTGCCATCACTCTAGGACAATCTTGCTCCTACATGAAGTTGTACCCCACAGATTATGACACATAATGCAGTTCAGAGTCTACCAGGGGGAGGGGCTACTAGAATCTGAAATCTCACAGTAGAGACTGTCTTATCAGAAAATAAATGGACATACACATTTGGATGCTAACAGACCTTCAAGAAATCCATACAACTAAGAACTATGTTTATAATATTAGAAACCTCTACTTGCTGGTTTGCTTTGTAAAAATTTATGTAGATTTTAATCAGAAAAATTTTCAGTTTTTACCACCTAGTACTCATGAACTGTATCAATAGCTGCAAAAGAAAAAAGGAGATTAAGTTGAAAACAACCAGTAAGTCCTTTGTGCACTATGGAAGGACGAGCAAAGACCAGAACGACTGGTTTGAAGTGTCACAATATCTGGGAAACTTTCAAACATCACAGTCCAGAAAAGATAATATTTAATTAGTGGAAATAAAAAACACAGGGCAAAAAAATACGACTTTCCAAACCCTTCACATATTCATTTCTAGTCCCTTCCCTCGGCACACGTCTTTCACCCCAGACAATAGCACAGTGGAAAACAGCTGTTTGTGAATGGCAGGGAATGAGAGAAAATAAACCTGGCTCCTTGGCACATGCTCACAGAGGGACAGCTATTCACCATGGGGTATGCTGCTCAATGCCTGTGAGTCCTGAACTGGTCATCTAGAACATAAGGAACTGACTGCCAAATCTGCAGCGCTATGTAATCTGTAACTCACCATTTAGTTTTGTCCTTTAGCTTTGGAGGCTGGAAATTACTTTTTGACATTAAGAAGAGAGCCCTAAAATAGAAATATTTCAGTCAAAGGCAATACTAAGACACTTCATCATCGAAATTAACAGTCAGAATGAATATTCTGTTGTAAATTTGTATAAGACTTCCTCATGAAAAGGCACTGAAGACATTGCTTTGGACAAGGAGTTCTTTTTTTTAAAGATTTATTTATTTTATTTATGAGTACACTGTAGCTATCTTCAGACACACCAGAAGAGGGCGTCAGATCCCATTACAGATGGTTGTGAGCCACCATGTGGTTGCTGGGAATTGAATCAAGACCTCTGGAAGAGCAGTCAGTGCTCTTAACTGCTGCCAGCCAGGACATGGAATTTTTTGATATTCATGTTTTAATTTCTGATGACACTGGCGGTCAAATCCTGAACTCTGTACGAGCTAGACAAGCACTTCTACTACTGAGATGTGCCTGCAGTTCTTAGCTTTTTATGTTTTGGGAAGGTTCTGGAATACTTTTGATAGCTTTAAAAAAGATATTTAAATGTCAAACTGGCTCTTATGTACAAAACAAAGCCATAAAATGTTAGTTTCATTATTGCAGTTACCTCATAGTATATTGCAGGGATATTACATAACTGTGTATTAGCTATTAGCTTATTACACAGCACTGACATGTTACTTTAAAATTAAGTTACAAGTCTAAGCAAAGCCTGCCATTTACAATTATTCTGGCAAATTATACCTATATCCTGATGTTTCCTTTATTTGTAAATTCTTATACTGTCTTACTGTATACAAGCTAACCTACAAGAGTATTCTATGAATTCACCCTTGAGAGAGGAAGGAGAACTCGATCCTGAATGTATATGCAGTGTATTTGTGTGAATGAATGTTCACCCTTGCACATGTGTGCAGTGCTTACCTTTCCCGTATGTACAATGTATGAGAGTGTGCTTGCCTGCCCATGTGTGCAGAGGGCTGCATTCCTTTACTGCTGTTCTCCATCGTATTTTGGGGGACAAGGTCTCTCACAGAACCCAGAGCTTTGTTTTGTCTAGAAAGGCTGCCCAGTAAAACTCTGGGGATCTGCCTATCCCTGACACCCTAGACCATGGGTTTGTTGGGAGCCGACTCTGAGCAGAAAGCAGCTATCATCTTTGCAGCCATCTTGAGCCATATACCCTGACAAGAGACTTGTTTTCAACAGCCTACAACAGCTGAGCACACTCTGATAATTATCTTGATCCTTTCAATCAAGGCCAGGCAGTGGTGGCACACACCTTTAATCCCAGCACTTGAGAGACTTGAGGCAAGACACGAGGCGACACTCAAGGTGAGACTTGAGAGATATAAAAGGAGAGACTTGAGGCGAGAACAGAGCAGACTCAGCAGACTCTGTCTCGTCTCCATTCTTCATGTCTCCGTCCCCACTCTCTCTCTTGCTAGACCCTGACCCGCGGACCGGAGCAGCAGAACAGGCCGTTACATGGGTTCAGGTATGTGGTATCATGCCCAGCTTTTATAAGGGTGCTAGGATTCCAAGCTTAGGTCTATAATTGTGTGTAGAAAGAAACCTGCACAGCAAAGCATTGCTCCAGACCCCTGAGCAGGTTCTATGACATTATTTGTGGGCCCCTTACGGTACTTTCACTAGTGTGATACATGTGAAAATGAGCTCATAACCCCAGTAATCAGTATTTCGTCTTCCCAAAGTGTTGTAAGTAATGAGAACACCTCATTGGATGAAGGTCAAACATAGGCGGCTGAAGTTCTCCGAGCTCGATTGCTGTTATTCCGACTGCCCAGATGTCGCAGAGTTGGTTGTAGCCACCATTCTTTTCCACTGCTGCAACTTCTGGAGCCATCCTAGAGGAGCCAGTGAGTACAGCATGGTTTATTTTTTTTTTAAGTGATATAAAATATGCTACTCTTTGCTATGCTCATAGATGGAAAGAAGGAAAAAAACCTTACCACCCTGCCCCACATCCCATTTCATTTTTGGTGGCTAGAGAGATGGCTCAGTGGTCAGGAGCACTGGCTGCATAGGGGCTCACAAACACTCCAGCCCCAGGAGATCTGAGGGTTTCTTCTGACCTCTGTGGGCACACATGTGGTACACATACATACATGCAGACAAACCACACACACACACACACACACACACACACACACACACACAGACACTAACAAAACAAAAACCAAAACCCTAAAGAATAAAAAATAAATAAAATTCCCTATTTAAAAATCCTCACTTCCTCTTCTGAATCTCCTTGTCCAAGAACACTGTTGTTTTGCTCTAGTCTGTTAAGGAATACGAAACACCTGTGCAGGCCAAAGTTCCTAAAGGAGGTGAAACCTCAGGAACACGCCAACAGGAAGCTGAGGGTTAAGGAGCCTGCACATTTTGGAGGAAACTCCCGCAAATGCAGAGAGCTGTGGAGAGCAGAGTGAACAGGGGGACTGAACTGTGACTGAGACCCTGGGAAGGAGCCATATACAGCCTGTTATTGTTTGGGACAAATACAGAAACAGAACAACTCTCTCTTGTCTAAACACATCACCAAGTTTTAGTAATTCATTTTATTTTACAAAAGTGTAAGTCTGGTCTGAAATTCTTAGAGAGTCTGGAAAGTACATTGAAAACAGACTGCCAAGGTAAGGTCTAGATATGAACAATCTACTTTTATACAAGTAAATTCAGAATTTCTTGTGAAAATGATGTGAACCCACTGAAAGACTTAATTATGGAGGCAGCTTAATCTAAAACTCACAGCAACTCGAAGCACAGTGAGAGGAGGTGAGACCAGGCAGGCAGAGGAGCTGCAGGGAGCTAAAAAATACAGGGTGTGGTAGCAAACACCAGTAACTACAGCCCTTGGGAGGCTGAAGCAGGAGTTATCTTGAGTTCCAGGGCAACCAGAGCTACACAGAAGATCATGTCTCAGTGATCACCACCCTCTCCTCCTCCTTCAAAAAACTAAAACAAATAAAAAAAAAGCCTCAAAACACACAGTGATAATATAAGGTGTAGTGACGCCACCCAGGGGGAATATATAGTTATATTGGATATCCCAAGTTACTATTGTTTTTATATACACAAAACATGATAACCTACATTTGTTGAAATACATAAGGTATTTCAACTTAAATGTGGAATACAGTACATGTGTTCTAAAGTAAGGACATAATATTTATACTAAACTTCTTTCTTTCCATGAAGGGGATTGAATCCAGGGATTTGAGTATGTTAGCCAAGTGCTCTGCTGTTGAGTTACACTCCCAACCCTTCAAAATGTGAATATTAAAAAAATGCTAACATGGAAATGTATATACCTATGCAATGCTGTATAACAGCCATGGGCATCTGACGAAAGAGGAAAAAACAATTACCTTTGAGCTGATGACTAACAGCCAGTTTCAGACTTGGAAGGGACTGAGTGGGGGCCCAGAATCAGCAAATACACTCGATTCCTCTACCCACTGGATGACTGTGTAGCTAACTGCAGTGGCACCTGACTGACTGTGGTTCCTAACACTGGAGAGGCTTGAGCTTAGCCTGGTCAGCTCTTTGGTGGTGTGGTTCTGGGCAGTAGCAGAACTTAAGGTGAGCACAGGAAAGGTTTTCCTGGGAGGCAGAGCACATGGCCAGAGTAGTTGCAGATGTGTTTACAAGATGACAGTCACAGAAAAGTCTTGAGATCCTATAGATAATCTGGTCTGTCTATATTTCCATCTTTTATTTAAATGATACCTCCTTAGGGCTTGTTCTGTTATTAAAAGTGGTGTGTTAACTGAAGAAAATGATGAATATAGGAAAAAAATATGGAAGAAAGCAAGCTGTGACCTCAATCAAATACAGCTACTGTCTCACATATTTTTTATCTGTGCTTTTTACTTAGAGACGGGTGATCTTTCCTAAGACTGTAGTCTATGGCAGGTGCTAATTTTAACTTTTGACTTTTTTTTTAAAATCATGTCCATCTGAGCCTGACTGCTAACAATTCATCTTAGACAACATCCTTTCTAACACCATCATGCTACTCCTCTGAACTGACATGTAAAATCCCCTTAGCTTACTTGAGCCACTATTTTCTAGAGTCTCAATATTAAAGCATCACTGGAGAGTACACTGCATATAAATGCACAAGCCTCTGATAAATTACCACTAGTAAAAAGGTTGAGGCTAAAGGACACAGAGGCGGTCAGAGCCTTACTGATAAGGCTCTCTACCGACTTTCCCTGTAATATATTTGTGATGGGGTTACTCAGTGATTCCAAGTATTCCAATTTGCCTGAAAAGAAAGTAATTCATCTGTGCTTATGCTCATGGGGAAACATTTCTCCTATTTTATGATTTCTTACATGTGTTACTATAACAACTGCTACTCTAGGCATTCTTTTTAGTGGCATATTCAAGATTTAAATAGTTAGGTCAATTCAGCCAGTCCTCCTGTATTTCACTTGCTTGTTGATTTTTGTTCCAGTTGGCAGACATGAAGCTTTACACCACCATGGGGTGGGAACAATCTTTTCCTTTAAACTTTGATGCTGGCAAAGGCTTCGTGCCTCCTCTTCCATTCTTTATTGACCTCTGCCTTCTTGTTTTTCTGAGTCTCATATACTCCAGGCTAGTCCTGAACTTGCTTTGAGCTGAAGATGAACTTAGAATTCTCCTACAGACCCGAGTGCAGAAAAAAACATGTGTGTTGTGTGCCTCAACCCTGAGTTTATGTGGTGATGGAGACCATGCATGTTCGTGAAGTCCTCTACAATTGGAGCTACATCTCCAGCCCAACTCATTTGTTTTTTAAGCTTTATTTTATTTTATTTTATTTTATTTTATTTTATTTTATTTTATTT